GGGCTAATAGAAAGAAAGAGAAGTGGAGATATCTCACATGTTCCTCGGTCAACTCTTCCACCTGTGAGTCAATCGTTGCTTGGATCATTTCGCGCTGGGATCTCGTAAACCCGAATGGCTCCAAGACACTCTAGAGGAAACATATTTAACATCCACCTACGCGAATGTAGCTTGAAAAGTGACATACCAAGAGGTAACTCAGGCAATTCAACACGAACACATCCTTATCCCACCCAGGCCGCAGCCTCTTCTTCCCCTCAGCCGCATTCAAACACAAGTCTACCGCAGGCTGAACCATGATATCTCCAATTTTGAGGAACCCTGATTCGGCGGGGTGGAGTTTTCGTTCTGGTTTTATTCCGCTTTCGTTCCCAGACGGTCTCGGAGTCTCCGATATATCTGGTTCATCGTCGTCTCCCAAAGAAGATTGGTACACGGCCATGATCTCACGCAGGATTTGGACGTGGTCGAGGATGGGAATGGGAGGTGTGAGTGAGGTGTCATCGAGTTCCTGGATGTAAGAGATGAATATTATGGCCATGCAATTGGAAGAGAAACATGTCTACGTACGAGGTTTGCTCGAGCGAGAGACCGGCATTGGGCCTCGATGGAACCGAAGAAGTATTTGTACGCTAGGTCGGTGATCCTGATACCAATTATGAGAAACATCAACAAAAAAGAAGGTTAGGCGTACTCGTTCAAGGTCAGCGAGAGTACCGCATCGTGTCCGATTGTCTTCGTCATCGTCATTCTATAGAACTGGAGCAGGTTTGCAATCTTGTACGACATGATGGCACTTTCTTGCGATCTGATAGTTTGTTGGACGCGAACCTGTGCGGAACGAATTTTTTTGTTTTGAGAACGATTCGGCTGAGGATACAAATGGTCTTACCTTCAGCGGTACACAAACTTTGCCCACAGCGGCATCCATCAGGTCTCGAGTCCATTCTTCCTCCTGGCTCATATTTTCTTTCTCCACAAACTCTCTGGCACTACCGACCATCCGCATATCGTCCTTCATATCGAACAAGGCCTCAAGGAATTCTCGTTCGGCCGCGATAGCTTGATGGACCCAAGCAAGCATGTCTCCGATATATCGTAAGGGATCGTGGGCGTGTAACTCGATGGGTCGAGGAAGGCCAGAAGGTCCTCCGCGCGTGAGGGCGGTAATGAATGAAGAGGTGAGTGTCGTTTGGCGAGTCAGTGAGAGAGATGCAAGGGATTCACTGTAGATGATGAATAGTTGGGTTTACTCGTGATTGCATGAAAACTATGAACACGTACTTGAGTAGTTCAGGTCGCTTCCGTAGTCGACGTACACCTTCCCGCATCGTCGTACTCACTTCGAGCTGCGAGTCGCGTCCAATCTGGAGGAACTCGTACGAGCACCAACGGAAGATCTTTTCGTATCCTTGTTCAAGGTGAGAGGCAGTAGACGCCATGATATCTTTACTGATGAAATCTTAGAGGCGTAGAAGGCGAGGTTGACTGCAAAAACTTACCCAGCTTGCGTAGGACCGTCTTCGCCAGCCATCAAGACCTGACAGTCTTCGCGAATTTGCTCCGTCTTGTCCATCGCTTGAAAGAATCGCTTTCCGACTGGAACGTCCCGCGAAGTCAAGGCCTCCGTTTCTTCTTCGGAAAGGGTGAACCGTTTGAGGAACAGCGACACGATGGATTTCTGGGATTCCACTTCCTGTCTTTCGCGAGATCAGTTATCTAGATGATGAATATAGGAGATTAAACACCTTTCTTCGCGTAGGTTACCTGCTCGTTCGAGAAGAGATTGGCTTGCTTCGTGCGTGAGCTGGAGTTGCTTCTCAGCTTCATCACAGCTGAGATGCATTGATGTAACGTGCGTTTGAAGAGCAGCTAGTTTCTAGAGTACGAAATGGACATTAGAAACGGTGTCGAGATTCTGTGAATTCGACGTACCTCATCAACTTCACTCAACACTTTCAAAAAATGTCGACTTCCTTCCGCCAGTTTGAGTTCCATATCTCTTTTGAGATTTTTCCGTGCTTTCATAGCTGCCTCTCCCGGTGTATTCTCCTTGAATTCTGAGGTCCCTGGTGACGATTGAACGTATTTCTCATCTTCCTCGATATCGTCTTCGTCATCTCCGGAGAATAAGCCATTGGTACCGTTATATAGCTCTTTATTTTTCAAATTACTATCATTGCTGGATAAATTTGACAAGTTTCCACTGGCGTACAGCTCAGAAATAGTCTGTAATGCTTCTCGTGTCGACTCGTCGTCGTAGTTGGTGCCCAGGACCTTGTATAGCCGCGAAGAGACTGGATTACGCGACTGAGGGGCCAATGACCCGGATGGTCTTCGTTCCGAAGATAGTGAAGAGGAAGAATTGGCATGAGAGAAGGTTGGTCGAGACATGTTACTGGGCGCTTATGCAAGCGCTCATGATTCTCCTCTGTCCATGTCTGTATATACACCAACACTAATACCAAGGCCCCCATTATTTCCACGTCTCCTTCCGGAAGCGCCTCTGGCACATCCGTTGCCTTTGCCTCCTGCACCTTCAGTCGATATTTTTGAAGGATACTCTCCAGGCGTTTATGGCCATCTCAATCATAGGCGCAACCTGCAACGCGAAATGGACGAGTTGAGTGAAGAGGAAAGTGAGCTGGATGACCTTGTACGTGAACTGCCGCGATGGTTTCTCCATTTACTTAAATTTGCCTTGAACAGAGCTCGGTGATCCAACAACGAGGGCATTCATTCTTGGTGCCAATTGGCAAAACGCTGACAGCGTTGGAAGAAAAGAACGATGTGCGTGGCTTGGTTTACATTTCACCAGTCTTACTTACGCTTTGTGCAGGCCGACGAAGATGAGTCTGAGGAATCTGCATCTGCCGCCTCGGGAACCGATGGCCCGCCTTCGGTAATGGAAGACGGCGACGGCGAAAACGATGAATCCGAACAAGATCTGGATGCGAGTATGGAGGATTTGGACGAGGAAGGCGACGAGGACAATGAGATGGAAGACGCAGAGGAAGATCTAGATGATGAAGTGCCTTCGTTTGGATAGTTTTTACCTCCTGAAAAGGACTTTATTCCGGGATGCCCGGCGCGACGTAGCTTTCTCTCAAACCACCATCATCAATTAAGTATGCCTCGCAAAGAAAATTCTGGCCCTCTTTCAGCCCAGCAGCAACAAGATCTTGTCTCCGACGGCATCGACAACTTTGAGCTCCCAACAAGTCTAGTAATTAAAATCGCAAAGTCTGCTGTACGCTCATTCACTGTTTCATATGTGGCGATTGTGACCAACAATATCTACTTCACAGGTCCCAGATAACACGAAACTGCAAAAAGAAGCTATATTATCTCTGGTAAAAGGCTCTACGGTGTTTATCAATTATCTAGGTGAGTCGTTGATTCATGTTCGACGCGTCTTCAGTTTTCTCAATGTCATTTAGCTGCCACGCAAGTTATTCTTTGCCCGGTCTACGCGTTTTTTCCTCGTTAACGGCTACTCTTTCCAGCGCATCCGATGTGGCTCAATCTAAACAGCACAAAAGCATCTCAGCGTCGGACGTCCTCAAGGCTCTAGAGTTGATTGAATTAGGAGACATGGTGGATCCATTAACGGCGGAACTTCAAGGTGAGCTACTTGGAAGACGCTTTTTTCTGCTTTCATTGATGATTATTTTTCGTAGTCTACCGCGACCAAGTCAAGCCTGACAAGAACGGTGGCCGTCGAGCGAGTACTGCCAGCTCCAATCAACGTCCGTCGGTTGTATCTGAAACTCCGACCAACTCTACTGCGAAAAGCAAGGGAAAGGGAAAGGAAAAAGCAAACGGAGCTGGTCCTAGCGCTAGCGTTGATGGTGTTAGTGTTAGTACTGGAGTGGAGACTTCCCTTCCGCCATTTACCTCTGCGCCACTGGCGCAACCTGTTGCAGGAAGTGCAGGATTATCTGCGCAACAAAGTCCGGGTGCTTCTGAATCCATTTCGGCGGCGTTTAACCGTACTGCAGACGCTGCGGAAGGAATGGATGTGGATATGGAAGCGGATGATGCAGTGATGGAGGAAGTTGACGATGCGGTGATGGAGGAAGTAGAAGAGGGAGTAGAAAAGGAGGAGGTTGAACCAGAGGAATTGCAGGATATGGTTGCGGTGGAGGCGCAAGAAGTTTTGGAGGATGCGAAGGGTGTGGAACAACGAGGGGTGGCTACAGAGCATCAATCGTGAGCGCTTGGACCGTCATAGTTATGTTCTCGTTTTGCCGTGTACTCATAAGACAAATGTGCGAACTAGACCATGTTCTGTTTATTCTCGTCCTGGTGATATATAACATACAGTATTCATTCGTCAAAACATCGAATAGCGAACCAGGCGGAGGGATTGGCGATCTCATTTTGGCGGCTACGGTCTACCTCCTGGCGAGCATTCTACAGAAACTGACACAATGTTTTCTCTCGTTTGGCTGGGTTTTTCCTGACTGGCAGAATGAACTTTTGAAAAGGTTTGAATGACTCTTTCGTTTCTATCTTTTGTGCCCGACGTAGAGAAAGATCTTAGCCACTCGGATAAACTTTGTATCAGCAAAGTAAGTATTGAGAGCGAGAATATCTGATGTTATAAGGACGGACTTAGACTCGAACCAGTCTCTGCTGCCTAGTCGTGAGTTGATATCACTTCCTCGGCAGAGGGGACGGACTTGATTCTTGAACGACAAGGATTTGAGTGAAGTATTTTTTGGATGTGATTTTCATTTCTCAAAGTGTTGGTTTCAGGTTTCACTGAGTGATAAGTGAATCAAAGGAAGAAGAGGAGAGACGAACAGATAGGCACTTCTTTGGCTTGCGCTCGTGCTTGTCGCTCTAAGAAATTAGTAACGGATTATAGTAGCTGACCATAAAGACAGAGGTACTCTGAATCAATTTTGAATCTCTTCCATAAATTTAGACAGACGCTACAGAGGAGAGCAAATTAACTGTCGCCTATTGAATTCTTTTTTCCTACAGATAAATATGGCCGCCTGGCGAAATGGCATCGCGTCTGACTACGATGAGTTTCCGATCGACAATCTATCAGTATCAGGAGATTGCAGGTTCGACCCCTGCGGTGGTCATGTCTGGGTTCCGTAAATTTTGAGCTATATCACCAGAAATCAATCTAAGCTTCAAGTGAACTTTATTTTGTTGAAATTTTGCGCTCTGTGATAACCTCAGAGTCTAGTCTTAAATCCATCGTTTTCGTCGGCAAATGGGACCGAATCGAAGTCAACGCTCGACTCGCTGGTTTCTTGGTAGTTTGTAGAGAAAGCGGCAACTTATCCGGCCCTTTCTCAACGACCTAAGTATGCTAATTTCTGCTCTTATCCGCACTCGAAGAGTCTACGAAGGTAAAGAGTTATTGAAATAATAAAGCCTCGGTTGGCAAAAAAAAACAACCATATGGAAGATCAAACCAACGTTACAAACGCTGTGTCGCGAACAGTCTAAACCTCAGCGTGCGGTAGTCCCAAAGCTGTTTCTATCCGTCTTAACGCGATCTGGCCAGATTGAAAACATCCATTATGACACGAAATCCAAAAAAAAAAAATGGCCACTGACCTTCATGATCTCCACCGGATGACTAAAAACAACGCGTATCCGTGTCCCCTTAGGATCACCATACACTGAAGGAACCTGTAGTCGTACTCCGCCTCGTACAAGTAGGTCTATCACAAGTTTGGCTTGATCTTCAATCGATAACGAGTGGGACATAAACTCGTCCTTGGGCCCTGCCACTTCCATCTTGCGGATGACTTTATCAAAGTCGACCAAGAGGAATGGGCCTGCCTGCGCATGTTCGAACCTGAATAAAGCATGCTTGTTCAAGAACAAGCTTAGGATGAAAGTAATGGGATATCTTCACCCTAATCCATGAACCTCACACCATCCCGCAACTAACTCCATACTCTCTCTCAACCGTCGACGATTCTCTTCCAAAAACGCCTCGTACCACTTTCCATTTTCCTCATCCAGGATGGCAGTAAACACAGCATCAGCTGCGCCAGATACCGGGGTAGCACTCATACTCGCTCGGATCGTTTCTATAAGAGGCTTGTTCGCTGGTTCCGGGGAAATTAGTGCGCCGATCTTGAGTCCCGATGCCCCGAGATCTTTGGAGGGACTCCAGAGAACGTGGATACGTGATGAACTGCATGGAAGAGCATCGGAAGAAGGAGGAGGAGGAAAGCTGAGGACAGAGGTAAATGGTGTTGGGTGCGGTGTGTACCGGGTTGAATATACCTCGTTCGCAAAGACTTCGTCTGCAACGAGATGAAGGTTGAACTGGATTGAACAAAGTCAGCGTCATTGAGAAGAAACGGCGCAGGTTGTAATTACCTCCTCGGCGATCCTCGCGTACTCGACGATTGTGTTGACGGGGTAAGCTCTCGCGAGAGGGTTATGAGGATTATTAAGTATCAGGACCTTGATCTTTTGCCCATCGGCGAGCTGGGCTTCTATGTGTCGTCGAAGATAAGGAATTGCTTCGACGGAAAGCGAGTCGATATCTGCCGGGATGGGGACGATGACTGGGCGTGCACGGGCTGGGTAGATTATGTCCCGAATGTAGTCCGCTACCAACAAAGAAAGATATGTTTACACTATTTAGTGAAAGATTCGACTTCTTACAGTAGAACGGCTAGAGACCGCCAGTATAAATTTCTATCATTGCATTCGTAAGAGATAATGCATACCGCAGTCAATAAGACGCCATCCCCTTCATCGCAGAGATGCCAAAGTAGATGCGCCAATACGGCCCCGATACCTGGCCCGATCGCGATGTGCTCAGAGCGAATACTATTAGGAATGAAAGGCCGTAGAGCCTCGTTGATTACTCGTGGCAGGACTTGAGTTGTGTTGGGGGTAAAACCATTTAGAAGCGTGGAACCTGAAAGAATTTAAAGCCTTGCAGACGAAATCTGATAAGATATGAATGGTTATTAACGCACGATATTTCAAGTGTTCAGTGGCCAGTTTAAATCTAGAGTTGATGAGCTAATGCAGTTGTAACATTCTTCATCCTTTCTTAGAAACGGAAATTCACGGCACCTCGAGTAGCTTGTCGCTCAGAAGTGAGTTTTCTGCGGTTCCAAGGTTGATCAGACCTTCGGGATTCTTGTCCTTGTCGTAGTTCTTCTGCACAGGTAAAAGGTTGGTCGCATAATATGCTTGAACCCGATCCAACCTTTCTTGACCTCGAGAAGACAGAGTCGCACTTGGGGACATAGTAGTACGCGGTGAGGTGTATGAGTGCCAGGCGCTTGATCTGATCAACTAGATATTAATATCTCATTTGTTCGCATTGGTGAAGGGTTGTATCTGTATAATAAATGCGGTGGGTATCTACTAGACTGCTCTCCTTCTCGATGTTCAATGAATTAAAAATTTGGACCTTTACTGATACGCGCACACGTGACACATGTACAAAAGCTTAACGTACGGTCGTCGGCTTTCGTTTGGAGGACTCGAAGCTGATTCTATATATAGGATATAGTAGCGAGGAGCACAGCTGGTAAGTAGATAAAAGGAGAACGAAGGTGTGTTCATATTACAATCAGAGCCTTCAGTCATCTGGGGAACTCTACTTTAATCAAGTGCAAATCAAGTGCTTTGAGGCTTCGACTCACCCGCGCTCGGTTCCAGACGTTGAGGCTACGTGAGCGGTCACCGAGGCCCAAACCCGCGGAAGCGGTCTACACCGCCTGCACCACCTCTTTGACGACACATCTAGATGACGTTCCCTACGCACTTGGACAATAGAATGGAAAAACTTCTTCACGAACTGGACTCGGACCAGTCCCAGGTGTCGAGAGGCGATGTAATCTTTCGAAGGGAGGTGTATGCTCAAATTTAAATGAATTTAACACCTTTACAACGCTTTTGTCATACTTGAGTATCACCAATATCTCAAATAATGATACGTCGATGAGGGCGTATCCGGGATACAACGTAAGGGCGGCCTGTTGCCTGCTCTTGCTTTGTTGACACCTTATTTTCCGAGATAGCTGTCGACCCACGGGCCGGGGCCACAATCACAGAGCACACATTCAGAGCAGATATCAACCGATCTCGGATGCAAGAACCCTTGGGCCTTGTGCGCTCATATCTGAGATGAGCACTAAACTCAAGAAAATAAGAGAAAAACGAGCATTGGCCAAATTTTCTTTCTTACCGCCGTTTCTGGTATGTAGACTTGAGGAACTGGCTTCAATTTCCACCATAGGTGCAGTCAGATCTCGGGTCCGCACTGAATTCACACTGGATAACTGGTGAATCGCGATTCAATAGGTACGGTCAGAACTTAGTTCACGAGGCAGCTAAAGAAAAGCCAACTGTTCAATGTTCACCAATGCAATTTTGGTGAATGATGGGAAAGCGCCTCCAATAGTGCCACCACAACGTACATAAGTAGATTCATCTGGTCTGTGATTTAAGCAGCTGAATTGCATGATTTCACTGAAACGCCGGATTTAAAAGGACATTACCTAAATGAAAATTAATGAAAGCCGTTTTGCCTATGAATGGGAGAGTAGTAAGGGAGAGTAGCGTCTGTCAGTCTTCAATATATTTTCCGATGTGTATTCTGTCTACATACAATAATGCTCAGACAACACTGAGACAAATTACTTGAGATGGTTTTGATTTTTTGAGGTGCAAAGTGCAAATATCACCTCTTTGATTCTTTAGCAGCGTAACATGTTCTGTTGGTTCAAACGAGGAGGTGAGTGTCCATCTATAGAGAAAGCTTGTACAGCATGCCTAGCGTCGCGAGAGCAGTTGTTACACGCAAAATAAATCGAATCGGAACGCGCACCTAATGATCGGGCGCAGCCATAGACACGCAAGTAACAACAGCGGTATCCAGCTCGTATCAGAATCATGATACTAGACATATACAGTATGTACCGCCTTGGGTAAGTATACGTACTATTTTTAAGGCGCATGGCTCTTCGGTTGTGGCTGCCTCTAGGCTCGTTCACTTGGTTTGCTGCGCCTCCAGGGTCCGGGAATTGCTTCCAATTTCCAAGAGTGGCCAAGAGTAGGCCAAGGAGAAACAGCCTGATTATTGCGGCACAATAAGACTAGAACCTGATATACGCTTAGAGGATCTCAGCGCCCAGCGCCAGCGCCGACGCTCTCGCGTCAGCTTCAGTCAGGCTTGTCAAAGGCATGGAAGAAAGCTGTTCCAGGAAGAGTGAGGGATCACCGCTATAGTTACTGTTGGTGGCCGTGGCCGACCGCCTCCGACCGCAGGCTTGATTAAATGATCTATAATAGTATAGAGTATCGGTGCAAGTCTGAGTGTAACTACGGCTGGTCTGTCGGGGATTGCTGCGGGGAACTGCGAGAGAACAGGTCCTCCTCGAAATCATGAGGAGGTGTAGAAGTATACGGTCTTACAAAAGGAAGCTGACAATTTGGATTGTTTTCTAACAAAATTTCGGAGCGATCGGAGAGCGCTTCAAAGTGCCGATTAGTCAGCCATCTGCGGGAGCTGTCACTAATTTTGGCACGTTGGCATTTGAATGCACGGAAGCCTAGCAAAGCTTGTCACTACTGTCAGCACTAGAGTCCCAGCTATTTCGCTCTTTTACTTCCTTTCACCGTGCTGGCTCTCGGTTCTGACTGTTTCGGATCCTTCTTGCTAAATTATGTCCTTTCTAAAACGCTCTGTGACCTCACGGCATTCGGACAGCGACGACGAAGAAGATGATACCATAGATCCAGAATTAAGATTGAGAAGTGTTCGGACAGCAGCTTCGGCTCTGGAGGCAAGTTTCCTATAGGTACAGGTAACTTACATTCCAACCTTTCTCAACAGGAATCCCACCGGACCGAGCAAAAAGCGCAAAGAAGGAAAACACGGCGGAGAGGGTTGTTCGGAAAAAGTGAGAAGAAACGGCCGCAGATTGGGGATACTGCAGATAGCCCACCGTCCACGGAAATCCCTGGCATCAGACGGAATGTCTATGTAAACTATCCACTGGCTCACTCGGAACTAGACCAGAATGGTGAACCTCTTGCTCGGTACAAAAGGAACAAAGTTCGGACATCTAGTGCGTTGCTTATCTCGTCT